TAACCAGATGCCCGAGCCACCTCAACTGGCTCCTCTCGACATGGAGAAGCAGCGGCTCTACTCTGAGTCCCTCCCGGATGATCGAGCTTCTCACCCTATCGCTAAGGGAGAGCCCAGACACCCTGCGGAGAAAACTCATTTCGGCTGCTTGTATCCGAGATCTCATTCTTTCAGTCACAACCCAAAGCTCGTGACCATAGATGAGGGTGGGAACGTAGATCGATCGGTAAATTGAGAGCTTCGCCTTTTGACTCAGCTCTCTCTTCACCACAACAGACCTGTACAGCGCCCGCTTCACTGCAGACGCTGCACCTATCTGCCTCTCACGCTCCATTTTTCCCTCATTCGTGAACAAGACCCTGAGATACTTAAACTCCTCCAGTTGGGGCAGGACCTCCTCCCTGACCCGGAGAGGGCACTCTATCCTTTTCCGGCTCAAGACCATGGCCTCGGATTTGGAGGAACTGATCTTCATCCCGGCCGCGTCGCACTCGGCTGCGAACCGCTCCAGAGAAAACTGTAGATCACGATCTGATGAAGCCAACAGGACCACATCATCTGCAAAACCAGAGACGCGATCCTAAGGCCACCAAAACGGATCCCCTCAACACCTCGGCTGCGCCTAGAAATTCTGTCCATAAAAGTTATGAACAGAATCTGTGACAAAGGGCAACCTTGGCGGAGTCCAACTCTCACTGGGAACGAGCCCGACTAACAGACGGTGGTAACGATAGTAGTTAAGTGTTGTGTAATAGGTGGGACTTTGTTTACAACCACGTCAAAGTTTAGCTCAGTATCTGTGCGCTAATTCTGAGAGCTGTGGTGGCCGTTTTGAACTGATTGATTTCTGAAAGTTTCATTGACAGCTATCCAGTGGTACCTGAGATATTTTGCTAACAGACACACAGGCATTTCCACAATCCCCATCCTTAAATTTTTATAGTAATAAACCTTTTCCCCCCATAAGTTGTGCAAAGTGTTAAAAAAAGTATTTAATGGCTGCAACACAAGTTTAGAAGAAAGAGAAAAATGGAAAAATTTAGGAAGCAGAAATGTGATGATTAATTTCTGACTAGTGAGGGATTAGGATTGGATGTGTACGGAACGTCTACTACAAGTTTAATGTTTCCAGGTATGAAGGCCTCACTAATTTAATCATTTATCTTTTAACACAAACTAGCAAAGAGGCCTTTTTTCTACGGATTAAGCAGCAATATTATTCAATACATTTAATTTAATCTTTAGATTTATTAGTCTGCACAACAAAAGACATCTGTAGCCGCATAAACTCGGGAATATTTTGGAAAACTATTCAACAGTCCGTCAACACAGTCTGCTGCGGAACTGAAAATATGACCCTGAGACGGTCTTTGAAGAAAAATGGAATAAAACGAGGTGTAAAAATAACCTGCTGAGAGTTTCTTTTCCCCGGTCAGGTTATTTACGGGGTTTAAAGTCGACGTGGCGCCTTTGTTGAGGCAGAGGCCGACAGATGGACATGGGATAAACTCAACGTGAGTTATTTCCCCTCTTCGTCACACTCGCAGACTTTGCCTGCGCTCGCTGATGAATCACTTCATGGATGTGGCAAATATGTCAGCCCGATCGCTGTGAGGAGGAACAACGGCAGTCATAAAACACAACGGGTCGTGTTTCAGGAGATGGAGCAGCTGAAACAGGAAACTCTGACTTGTTTTTAGCCGTCCGGTGAATAAATATGTTTTACTGCAGAACAGACTGTGGACTAAAGCGTGGTTTGTGTTTAGAAAAGAGCAAAATGGTGGAATTAATATCCAGCTCACCAGAAAAACAAAGTATTTTCTTCAAAATTTGAAGCACGTAGCTTTATTAACACCCCCCGCCCCCGGATCATTAATTTGATTCAGATTGGTTTGTTATTGTACCTTAAATAGTGCAGCATTACTGCTGCATAAAAATCTGCTTTATATGAGCTGAAACTGGTTGTTTTACTTTAACATGCAGGCCCGAGGGCTCAAAAAACCCAGTTAAATCCCATCAAAGTGTTAATGAATAAAAAGTACACGGCTGCAGGTCCAAACTTTACTGAACAATGCGAAAAACAAACACGGAGCGCAGAAAGAGTCCATTTTCTTCGGACTCTGTGTATACGCCCATCGAAAGGTGCATGTATTATGGGATCCGTGAACTTTCTCTTGTTCAGCTCTTAAATTCTGATTCGCTCAAGATAATTCAACGAAACTTTGTGCACATCGTGTCACGTCACATTTATCATGACCCCAGCTACCAGGTAAAGGTCACAAATCAAGGTCAAATGTTGCTTGTCCGTCCCGTTGCCATAGATTACTTTATTGCTGTAAATTAGCCAATGGGGATAGGGGGGTGGGGGTGGTAATGTTCTGCACTTGTGTTTATATTTCTGCTGTACTTTCGAATCCACCTTATTCTGCCATGCATGAATTATGGGCGCGACTTCCGGCACGGACCGAAATCGACATTTGTTTCTGTGCTAACAGTACAAGCTAATCTCAGAGCATTGTGGATTTACTTTAAACACGTAGGAACACCACCTGTCAGAACTCAAACAGGACATGTACTAGCATATTTAGCTACATCTACTATCATATTAAGCTACATCAACTAGCTTATTTAGCTACATCTACTAGCATATTTAGCTAATTATACTAGCATATTAAGCTACATCTACTAGCATATATAGCTACTTATACTAACATATTTAGCTACATCTACTAGCATATTTAGCTACATCTACTAGCATATTTAGCTACATCTACTAGCATATTTAGCTACATCTACTAGTGTATTTAGCTACTTATACTAGCATATTTAGCTACATCTACTAGCATATTTAGCTACTTATACTAGCATATTTAGCTATTTATACTAGCCTATTTAGCTACTTATACTAGCATATTTAGCTACATCTACTAGCATATTTAGCTACTTATACTAGCATATTTAGCTACATCTACTAGCATATTTAGCTACTTATACTAGCATATTTAGCTACATCTACTAGCATATTTAGCTACTTATACTAGCATATTTAGCTATTTATACTAGCATATTTAGCTACTTATACTAGCATATTTAGCTTCTTCAATGACGGTGAAGTGATGAACAAGCTGAAAAGCTCTGAGCTGCATCAGTATCTCCACAGTAATAGTCGGTGGTGTTTTGTTTTATTAAAAGAGGTGAGACACAATGTTAGTGATTAGTGGGGAGTGGTGGCACAAAGGTTAGAGAAGGTGGGCCTGTGATCGGAAGATTGCCGGTTCACGCCCCGGTACCGACAACAAAAAAAATGTGGGTGGGGTAGGTGAAGCACCCACACTTGCCCCCACACGCATTTGCCCCACTCTGGGCCCATGAGCAAGGCCCTTAACCCCCATCTGCTCCTAAACAGGTCTCTCTTGAAGATGAGTTCTCGTGGCTCAATGAGACTACCTGTATAAATAAAGGGTAAATGAAAAAAAAAGATTTTTAATCGGACACAGAGCGCAGACAAAGCCTTAAAGTCCTCCATCAGAAAAACATCACAGAACTGAAGATGAACAAATCCTATAAAGCTGTGACCTCCATACACTTGATAGACTTTCTTTGAAAAAATTCAAATCTCTCTCCACTTTTTAAGCCAGTGTTTTCAACTCATCTTTTGTTGAGGATGGACAAAAGGTATGCTCTGCTACTACCACAACAATTAGCTAAATGTTTGGCATTTTCACTAAAATCCATTCAGTGGGTAAAGATATTTTGCTAACAGTACCTAACAGGTAATGTGTAGTGCTTGGATGTTGTGTTGGTCATGACTCTCAGCTACTTCCACACAAAATGTTACCTTTATCTGTAAAACTGACAAAGTTGTAGCCTTTTTGTTGCATTGCTTAATGTCTCATAGGTCTGGCAGCCATCTTGAATTGTCTTGACAACAATTTAGGTCTTTAGTTTCGGCTGCAGGTGATATTTAGAAAACCCCAAGAAAAAAGTCTTCATTTTCATTTGAATCAAATTTGTGCAGAAGGACAAAGTACAAAACCGCCAGCTTTGGTGTTGGGAGGGAGCTCTGCTTTACTCCTCGGCAGGAAAACGAAAAGAAAAATAGCTTTTATTTAGCAAATGCCTGTTAATTATTTGGCTGATCCTTTTACTTTAATTGTTAAAGTTAGCCGAGGCCGACCCCACAGCCGGCGAAATGCACTCAAAGCTCACAACTCAAACCATTTGAATCCATCAGCGTGAAAGCACTCTGAACACATTTAGAGCTGCCAGCATCGTGAGGACGGGGCTCGCTCCATTTATGATGTCACCGTGTTTCAGAACGCCGTTGTTACAGTGGGAGTTTCTTCCTACAGTCGCCCACAACGCACCCTGGAGGGGTCCCTCTAATGCATCTTCCTGCTGAGCCTTTAATCTGAGTTACCGCAGAAAAACAAAAGGTTAATCACATTGGGAGACCTCACTTCAGCTCTGACCACCCAGCTTCTCCCCGTTTCTCTTCAAGCTGCATTACTGGCATGGATGCTGAGACAACGTGGGGTGTGTGGGTTGGAGTACGAGAGCTAAACCTTCCATTGGTTTTTGGTCTCAGATCTGAACGTCTGACTGTCCATCCATCACAACAAAACGTAAATTGTTGCGTCGGGGTGTGAACGCTTCCTGAGGTGCGTTTGTGTTAGACTCGTCTATGGAGCGGTCATCTTTTCGACGACCTAATTTATCTCATTTGGACCTTCTTATCTTTAGTTTCTTGCGTGCCTAAAAGCCGTTGGGCAAATTACATTGAGATTCAAGAGGTTATCTCTCAGTGGTGAAGGGGATTGCAACAGCCTGAAGGATCACCACAGGTTAATGTTCTTTTTTTTTTTTTCCCCCACCTAATGGCTGAGCCTTAATGAGCACAACTCTTTTCTTTAAGGAGAATAAAAAACAAACTAAGCTGCCGAGGAAATGGATTCTAAGGTTGCCTTTTGTAAAGCTTTTTCTTTTTTTATTTTCCGCAGGGTGGTGGGACCGGCCGTGACCTTCAAAGTGAGCCACAACTCCAAGAATGTCACCACGGCAGATGTGGCCAACGTGGCCGGTAGGTTCTCCTTGGCTGACTAATGTTGTCTTTTATATCGACAAAGAAAAAGACAGGTCATTATTTGTAGCTTGCTGCGGCACCTGAGGCCCCCGATGAATCTTTCACACAACGTACGACACCTTGGTGGCTGCGTTTTTTTACTCAGATCCAGTTTTCTGTGATTTCTTGTCCCTGTGCGATATCATCTACAACCACAATTAAAAAAAAACTGTTGTTTTGTGTAAAATGTAAATAAAAAACAGAATACAAAAATAATTATCATTCTCATAGACTGGAGCTACTCAACTGGTGGCCCACTTCATAAAAAAAAAAAAAAAAAATATATATATATATATATATATATTTGGTTCTGGGTTTGAGTTTTGGGTTCTGTTTATTGCATATAAGATTCAATGCACTAAAATAAACAAATTTAAAATGGTTTATTTACATAATGATTTTAATCACTGGATGTCCGGCCCCCGAGCTGTTGATTTTCAGAAACTGTGCCCCAACCCCCCAAGCAGTTTTTTTGAATTGTCCTGTCATAGACCCAAGTTTTATTTGCATTTTAATATGGAAAATATATACAATAAAATATTTTTAACAAGGTAATTTGAATATAATGGCAGCAGAAGTTGGAACATGGGACGACACCAAGCTGTAAAATGAAGTTGTATGAATAAAACTGCTAGTGGAGCTTTTATTAGGTTAATAAACAGCAGGTCAGTAAGAGGACGATATAAAAAGAGCATTTTAGAAAAGTTGAATCTACTAGAAGTAAAGATGGGCAGAGGTTCACCAGTGTGCTGATGTTTACAGTATGGAACGAAGCTGAAAGTCTGTGTTGGATGTTCGTGATCTTTGGGCTCGCTGGCAGAAATGAGTTTAAAACAGGTCTGGTTTTGTTCTGGTCATCACTGAATTGGATCAGAAACCCTTCCTAGACAGGAAGTACACATGAAGCCCAGTCAGGGGAATCTGCCACGAGCCGTGTGTGCAGCTTGTTCTTATACACTGACCAGTCCAGCCGAGCTCACAGGCTCAGCGTCCGTGGAGCAACAGCTGCACGCCGCAGCCTCATTCAGCTCTCTACAAACACAAACATATGGCTCATGGGCAGAGTTAACATTCTACACAATAGTAGTTAAAAAACATCCATAACCTTTGATAAATTCCCTAACACAAACGCTGGTTAAAGCTCCAACATGCAAAGAAGCCGTACGCAAACTGCTGTTTTCTCTGGACCAAAGCTCACTTAAAAAAAAACGAGGAAACGTGAGAAACTGTTTCATGTTCAGACTGATCAAAATGATTTTTGTAAACCACAGACAACATTTCCTACTAGTACTGAAGGCACCGTCCGGCCTGTTATCGGAGCACAAATGAAAGCCTGCCTCTCTGCTGGTATGGGGTTGCATTAGTGCCTCTGGCATGAGCAGCTTGCAGATGTGGAAAGACTCCATCGATGCAGAAAAGTATACACAGGTTTTTGAACATCTGCTTCCAGAAGAGCCAGGACTGTTGATCAACTAGAATCCTCCATCAGACCAGAAGGAGACAACAGTCCATCCAAAACCTCCAACATCTGGTCTCCTCAGGACCTGGACGTTTACAGGCTGGAGGAGATGCTTCTCAGTGAGAAACCTGGACCTGGAGCTAATTTTGAGTTGTGATGCTGCCATCAAATTCAAACGTTCTTATTCTTTCTTTCAAACAAACGTTGCATATCTTCTCCTGATGCAGGTAACATCTTCGTTTCAACCGTTGTCTTTATCATGCTGCACTGTGAATAAAACATGAACTGATGCAGGTCCATCCATCCGCCCCAGTGTTTCCCCTCCCATTATATGAAGAGAGCGCCCCGCCCTGTCAGCAGAACTGAGAGCCCTGTCTACCCCCCATCGACAACTGATGTAGCGCTAACCTAGTGGTGCACAATACAGACGCGCTAGCTATAAAGCTACCGAGGTCACTTCAGATGCTGAACTGTCTCCCCCCCATCCCCCCGGTTGAAAAAAAAGCATGGCAGATATGAACACCCTGCCCAAGATGTAAACTAGGGGAAACTGTGCATCCATTATCTTTTACCCGTTTCTTTTTGGGTTGTAAGGGTTACTAGTGCCCATATCCAACCATAACAGTGTGAGAGGCGGGGGACACCCTGGACAGGTCTCTAGTCCAGCACAGGGACACATGGAGACAAACAACCAGTCACTCCCTCACTCACACCTAGGGACAATTTAGAGTTACCAATCAGTTTAACATGCATGGTTTTAGTCTGTGAGAGGAAACCGGAGCACCCGGAGAAAACCCACGCATGCACGGAGAGAACATGCAAACTCCACGCAGAAAGGCCCCCGGCCAGGATTTGTACTGCCGACCTGCTCGCTGAGAGGCGGCATCTCTACCAACTGCGCCACCGTACTGCCTGATGTACTGATCATTGTCATCAGACATGTATGCGACTAGTGTCCAAACCTTTTCCAGTATGTTCAGTATGTTTTAAACGAGCATTTCCAGTCAAGACCTTACTGCTCTTCTATTCTTGGCCACATGCAGCTGCTTTTAATATAACAGTTTGTAGACCTCTCATGCTCACTCTGCTCAGTGCCAGAGTGCTTTTCATTTCTTCGCTGACAACTCATTTGTTTACATTTTGTATGAATTTCTCACATTAATGTTCCTCTCCACACTTTTCTGTAGGAAGTGCATCTCATTAAAGAAGCTAAATTACTGTTCAGCCTTTAATTAGGGCCTTATTTGCCTCTGCAATGATTTCTAGCTTGTGCCTGAGCTCGCACATCTCAGACTGATTGCATGAAACTTCAGACGTGGAAATATGAGCAGTTTCAACAAGATACTGTTTGGTAATTTCTGTGTGTCTGTATCACATGCTGCCATTAAAGGCACAAGATCTGACTGGCAAAATAACGCTGATAGATTTAAACTTGCGATGTAATCACTGGATGTACGTCTATAACTAATTAACTTTTGGAGTTAACCTACTTCAAGATGCCTGTCATGGCTAATGAACCTTTGCAAACACTGTCAGTTTTATGCATATTGAGCTAAAGTTTCGTGTGATAGTAGCTAAGAATCATATTTGAAATGTTAACAAATCACGTGAGATGTTTGTTTAAAGCTTGGCGTTAAAGTTAATAGACATGCGGTGTGAAAGGTTATCATCTAAATGTCATATATTGGTTTCAGAGAGTTGCATAAGTCATAAAACTCAGCCTGAATTATTCAAGAAGCTGATCTGTGCACAGGTAGATGCATTTGATATATTCAACAAAATGCAATAACCAACATTTAAAAATGACTCCTCTTAATTCAATTCAGTTTATTTATATAGCACCAAGTCACAACAGAAGTCACTGAGCAGAAACATTCCCATTCATTATAAATGCCAATTAGAAAAGTTTCAATCTAAGGAAGGAAACCAGCAGACGTGTTGAGTCCTCATTTGTTTCAGTCTCTCATCCTGAGCAAGCACAAAGGCGACAGTGGAAAGGAAAAACTCCCTCATGAGGAAGAAACCTCCAGCAAAACCAGGCTCAAGACAAGCGGCCATCTGCTTCGACCGGCTGGGTTTGAGAGGACAGGAAGGAGAAACGGACACAAAATGGCGGGTCCAGAATGGAGGCGAGCAGGTCCGCACTAGGAAGAAAGACACAAAAAAAACATGTTAAGATAGAGTTAATTACAAATACAAACTATTTGTTTGCTTTCATTTGATGAAATGAGGTTAATTTATCCTCCAGTAGACTAAGCCTATAGCAGCATAACTTTGGGATAGGTCAGGAAACCAAGCCAACCCTAACTATAGGATTTATCAAAAAGGAAAGTCTTAAAACTGGATAATGTGTCAGCCTCACGGACAGAAACTGGAAGTTGGTTCCACAAGAGAGGAGCCTGAGAACTGAAAGATCTTCCTCCCATTCTGCTTTTGGAAACTCTAGGAACCGCAAGTAAACCTGCAGTCTGAGTGCGAAGTGCTCTGTTGGGAAAATATGGAACAATAAGATGTGTAATATAAGATGGAGCCAGGTTGTTGAGGGCTTTGTAGGTTAGAAGTAAGATTTTGAATTCAGTTCTGGATTTGACAGGGAGCCAATGGAGAGAAGCTAAAACTGGAGAGATATGATCTCTCCCACTGACTCCAGTTAAGACTCTGGCAGCAGCATTTTGGATCAACTAAGAATTTTTAAAGAAGTGTTTGGACACCCAGATAATAAACCATTGCAATAGTCCAGTCTAGACGTGACAAATGCATGAACCAGTTTTTCTGCATCATTTTTAGATGTTTTTAATTTTAGTGATATTACGCAGGTGGAAGAAGGAGGTTCTAGTAACTTTTCTAATGTGGGGAATAAAAGACATGTCCTGATCAAAAATAACACCAAGATTTTTAACATTAGAACTGGAGGACAGATTAATGCCATCCAAAGAGGATGAAAGACTGAAAAATGTATTCCCAAGATGCTCAGGTCCAAAAACTAAAACCTCAGTCTTGACTGGTTCAAAAGTAGAAAATTAAGGGTCATCCAGGTTTTTATGTCTTTAAGACATGCTTGTAGTCTAAGTAGCTGTTCATTGGGTTTAATGGACAAATATAACTCTGTATCATCAGCATAACAATAAAAATGTATCCCATGCTGTTTAATAACTTTACCTAATGGAAGCATATTTAAGGTAAAGAGTATTGGTCCTAGCACTGAGCCCTGAGGAACTCCATGAGTAACTGGTGTAAGATGAAAATTCATTATTTACATTTACAAACTGAAATCTATCAAATAAGGATATAATCTTATATGATAAATGAATATTGCCACACTTTCAGTCAGTCAGTCAAGACCTGCCTGTTCCAAACCTGAAACGTGCAGAGGGACTTTCATTCTCTTCCATGGCGCGATCGAGCTGTAAAAATGTTGTCAAGGTGTGTGTGCATGTGTGTGAGCCGCAGTGTGACTCACTGTAATGAGGCGAGGGTGTTAATGAAGTGGGGAACATAA